CCCCCCCCCCCCCCTTCCCACCCTCGCTCCCTTAGTGTGGAATCTCCAGTGTGGACACATACTGCTCTGTGTATATCATTCTACTGTTCCTGGGTAGTTTGTCTCTCCCCCTGGCTAGAGTTGATGGTGATCTGCTGGTGGTTGGCTGCTGCTCTGCTCCTCATAAGTCTGCTTTTATAACCACTGGTTATATAGAAAGTCTGTATTCTAAGTATTTCATGAACCGCTGGTTGTATAGAAAGTTTGTGTTGTTCTAAGTATGATCATTTGATCTGAAGGGTGGTTGGGGGGTAGGTCGTACTTTTCTTTGTCTCTGTTGTTTCTGTCCATCTGTCTTGCTACTTCCCTTCTCTATAATATGACTGTTATTGTGTCGATGGGCTTCTCTGCACTCAAACTGAAGACTCATTGGATTGGAGTTTCAGAAATCACACTTATAAGAACAAATTAGAGCCAAACACACACACACATACACACACACACGCGTAAACTATGCAGGGAGAGAATTATACCACAAGCTCAACAACTCTCCCAAATTTCCCAGGACTGTCCTGGGTTGGGCAGTCGCGGAATTTGAGAGGATATTATTTATTAAACTGGACTCTAGCAAAACCAGCTCCTTGTGATGTGATCCTGTTTGTTGTTCCCTCATCTGATGGTGGCAGGGGGAAGCCCGGAGTGGGTTCTGACAAAGTGAGCAAGACTAATGGTCTGAAAATGTGCTGTAATAGTCTTTGTGAGGCTGATAGGTAGTGACTTAGTTTTAGTAGAGGTTTTACGGCGCTTACAACTGCAAAAGGTCATATGAGCGCCAAGGGGTGGATGTCAACTGAGAAGTCCTTACAGGGAATCAGGCTAACTCTGCTCACCTCTGTAGCTTCACCAGCACAAAATCTATTTTGACTATCAAGGCACCCCGGAAATAAAGGGTCACAGGAGTATGACAAACATACAAAAAGAAGTACAGGAAAAAATGACGATAGTAAGGATTTGGAAAGAAAAAGCAGCAATTCCCTGTTGCAGTTCAGGCACAGTTATGAGCGTGACATTGATGAATTAGCCCATTTACAATTACAATTCTACTGTGCATAAGAACATGGTTAATAGTCCACCCCTTTGGGAATGGCCTAAAGACACTTCAGTCCGTAGCACTGCCCCAGGGGTTAGTATGTAGTCTGAGAATGTGTTGAGCTATTCTGTAGCACGTCTAGGCTGCTACTCAACACTTCATGTTAAAGTCTTGAAGAAATGGGACTTATGTCCAGGCTAGTGGGTGGTTGGCAGGTGCTCTGGGGTGGTTTGCTCCTTCCCTATGAAACATCTGTTGTCCTTTTCTCTCCTCCTCCTCCTCCTCCTCCTTTTCTTTGTACGTTACTCGCTAGTAGTAACACTTGTAATCTTGATCACCTGTGCGACCTAATTGTGTTATAAGTGCCATAAAACTCGGACAAAAACTGATCACCTTGTCTCTTTGTGTGCCTCCAGTAGAAGTGGTGCTCTCTCCCCCTCGTCCAGTTGTGTTTTGAGAGCATGTTGCAGGACACCCCCATTATATCTGACATCATTTCCAACGATTAACTTTCTTGTAGATCATTAACATTCCTCTCTAACATTAGAGTAATTGTTTCGTTTCTGACATTAACATAGTATTGACCCATATTTCCTCTCTGTCTTGACAGATCCTGGTACTGGATTTCCATTAACAATCTCATCAAGCATGCGGCGCAATAATTTTTCTTCTTTTTACAGTATAACACGGATAGGTCAAACTGCCTGGGGTCCCGTTTTAAAAAAAATTTGTTTAAAATCTTTAAAAGCTATCCCTCGAACGACGGAGGCCAGTCCTGATGTATCGAGCTATCCGTGTTATACCGTATTAATTTTTTAAAAATATGGTCAAAATCAAGAAGTGGAAAAAGTCCTGGGATTTCGTGCGTTTTCTTTTAAATGCAAATGTGGACTGTGTGTTGTTGTGAGGTCTGGTGTTGTGGGGAACTGTGAAAATTGTAGCTCGTGTGGTTAGGAAGTGGAAGTCAGGCGACTTACTGAGACAGGGGGAGGGGGTAATACAGTAACTTGGTAACCGAATAGAAATAGTTTGGGTTTTTTAAAAAACAAACTGCCTGTTAATTTTGCCGTATGGCTTGGGATAGGATTGGATTTAAACCTGATGTTCTTTACAGCAGACACAAAGACTGCTATGGCATCTGTGGTGTAGTAGTTCAGTGCTTCACTGTCACACTCAGGAGGCCTGAGTTAAATTCCAAAGTGGGAATTTTTATCAAGTGTCCCTCTCAGCCTGGGTTGGCCCTGACAGGCATGGTCAAAGTCCGCCTCCCAAATTGTCAAAATTGTGTCGATGAGGGTGTAAAAACATGTGCTGTTAAAAATTAAAATAAAATTTGCCAAAAACTACACAGAAAATGACTGTGCTACGTGGCTGATGGTCACTTACGTTACACTTCATTTCTGTTCTAGCTCGATGGGTCCCTTGTTAAAAAGGAGAATGTTGTATGTTTTCTGTCCACAGTTTTGACCATGATATTTTTGTGGGTGCGGTGTGTAGCTGCCCGGCTCACGTAATGCCATCTATTGCTGTGGCTTTCTTGTGTTGTCTCTGGTGGTTTGTCAAATATAGTAGGCATTACCTCGTGTCAATCCCAGGATGCAATACTTGGACAAACGGCAAATTTCACCCTGGTATTTGTGGGAGTCTTGCATCCAGCCATTGATACATGCACTTTGTGAGGTCTCACACACACACACACACACACACACACACACACGATACTTCAGTCGTAAAAGCTGCTGACATTCGTAATTTAAAACGAAACCTTATCATTTTGGTAAATATTCCTTTTGGTTGGAGGGCGCCACTGGTTGGTCCCACTTCCTTTTCTTTCCCTCTGGTTTTTTTTTTTTTAAATCGAGTCTTGCTTCTCTGGCTGTGGAATTGTTTTGTTTGTGTAAATGAAAGTGTGAGGTTTATGAGAGGCTGTGGAACTGTTTGTGTGTATTGATGATAAGATGTGACGTGTTGTGTGTCAATGTGAAAATGTGTGACGTGTCGTGTGTCACTGTGATAATGTGTGACGTGTTTTGTGGTGTCATCTCTACAGGGAGCAGCACATCCGGGGGCAGCAAGAAGGACCGGGAGAAGACTGGCGGCAAATCTGGCGGGAGCGGTAGCGACACGGACGCCAGTTTGGCCAGCGCGCGGCGGGTAGGAGCGCCGTCTGCCCCGGGAGCGCCTGGCGCCCCGCCCCTGTCCAACCTGTCGTCGGTGCCTCCAGAAGTGAGCGGCAGCCGGCAGTCGTTCCGCATGGCCATGGGCAACCCCTGTGAGTTCTTTGTGGATGTCATGTGAGGCGCTCGCTCCGCTACGACTTCTCCGTGTGTTCCTGTTTGGTTGTTTTATGTTGTTGTTTGTTTTGGTTTTTTCCTTCTCTCTCATTTTAAATGACCTGCTCTTGATGGATGATATTTGGTGATCGCTGTTCTTGCCTTTTCAATATGTTTGTTTGTTTGTTTGTTTCCCTTTGTAGAAGAAATCCGTGTTGCTTGCCAGCTTATCTGTTCATTTGTTCATTTTTTTTCTAACACTTTACGCTATCTTTTCCCTAGATCGGTGTGGGGATTAGAGTCTTTTTCTGCATAGATTTCGTGTAGAATGTACAATGTTTTTGTCCTCTCTCTCTTTCTGTAAGTGTTGTGCCAGTGGTAGGTATTGTATAAAACTGTCATTGTCTAGTTTGTCTTGTGGCTTCCCGATTCCCCTCCTGTTTCTTCGTACGAGACAATCCACGGCAAAAATGTCCATTTTTTTTCTTCCCTTTTGAAATTTGGTAGATGAGTCGGTATCTGATGCGGGGCTCGTTGTCAGTTGAGTAACGCCTGTATTGACGGAGGTGCTGTCTGTGTGGGGGAGAGCATCTGTCGCTTGCCGTAGGCTCCCACGTTTGATGTGTGTGAAAGTGGTAAATTTAATATTTTGTGTCTTATAGTTAAGATCTCAATTTTTGGGGGATTTTTTTTCAGTCAGTTTATTACTTTTGTGTTGTGGTTCCTGAAGAAAAAAAGCCACCAGTAAATTAAGGAAAGAAAGTGAGGGTTGCATAAAACCCGGTCAACTCGGAGACGAAGTGGACATTGTAATATTGTATGAATCAAATGTTGTGTAGGCTTGTTGATCTAGAATGGGTTGGGTTTTTTTGCGCTGAATTTTGACTGTGGTCTTTCTCTGAGGCCTGGTGTGGGTAGAATGTGGAGAGCCCAAAGGGGGTGGGAGTTTTGTTGACTTGTTTTGTTGTTGGAGATGTCGTTTAATCTGTGTGGAAGATGTTTCTCTACCCTCAAGAGCCATTCAGTATCATGAGTTTCATTTTTAGGTGGGTGTGTTTGGTTCTTTTTGGTTGTTTTTTTTCTTTCTTTTTGGTGTTGTGTGTTGTTTCCTCCCTCCCTGCTTTTGGGCCTGAGACAAGGGGTAGTTTGTTGTTGAGCCCGAAATGATTTAGCTTTAGTTTTCTTACAATGTTTGTACCAAACATGTGTTGAAGCACGGAATGTGCTAGAATTGTTTGTAAACGACAGTGGGGTTTCTTGTGAAGGGTGTGGCCTGTTGCACATGGCACACGTCACATACCAAGCCTGTGACAGGCTGGAGAGCTTCACGGTGACCCGTTTTAGGCTCTGAGTTTTTCCCTAGTTGCTAGTCATGTAATGTTGGCACTTTTTGGCCTTCTGTCTTGTCCATGATAACATTTTAGCTGATAAGCTGTGCTATATGCTTTGTGGCCAATTCTTATATGTGGCAACTTGGTTGTGTAGGGACTAGCGTTTGATCTGTCATGGGATAGAGTTGGGGAACAGCTCATAGTTGGAGACTACGCTGTGCTGTCTTGCTCTGAATCTCTGTGGGAGATTTTGGGGGTGGATATATATTTATATATACGATGTCTACACTGTTTACTTGCCCACGATGTTCCAAGAAGTAGATATCTATGTATGTACGTGTGGGTTTAGGGAACAAACAATATAACAAGTCCTGTGTGACGTTGAGTCAGTGCCCAGCGATATCACATCAAGAGTAGCTGGGATGAGGCAGAGAAAACTTGCCGGTATTTCAAGTTGCTATCTGAACTTTTTGGTTGGAAGGTAGGGAGCTAGGTATTTTATTCAGTACTTAAGACCATTGGCCCACATCACATAAAACTTACACATTTTATGGAAGAGACTTCCATGTAATAGCACAGATTATTAATGACACATATATCAGTGATGTTTTAAGACAAAGGATTTGTGTTGCTCAGCAAAGTTTCAAAAACAAACTAGCATAGATATAGGTATGGGGTGTGTAGGTAGAGATATGGGTTGTAGAGGTATAGTTATGAGGTGTACAGGTTGTAAGGTTTTATAGGTAGAGATATTGGGTGTATAGGTAGAGGTTGTAGGTTTTATAGGTAGATGTATTGGGTGTATAGGTAGAGGTTTTAGGTTGTATAGGTAGAGGATATATAGGTTATATAAGCTTCAGCTGAACTTTTGGAATGAGATAGGACAGCAGTCACAGGTCAGTGGCCTTGCCCCTGGTCTGGTGGGAATGGACCCTCCACCCTCCCATACAGCCACCCACCCTCCCGTGCAACCTCCCATGCAGTCTCTGTTTCCTCTATATCCACTGTTTGGTAGTACTGTATGGCCCAGACAATAGTCACACATTTTACTTTTGGCCACTTCTCTGCTTATAGTTTTTATCCACTGGTGATTGTTTTTCTTTCTTTTTCTTTGTGTGTGTGTGTCACGCTTTCTTATTTATATTCCTTTGAGCTTTCTTTTCTAAAGGACACCCTTTGTTGTTTCCAGCCTCCCTCGTTGTCAGCTTATCTACAATATATCACTGTGCTGGTTTGCATTTATTACGTATGAAGTTTTATGTTGCGTGTGAGGCTTGTATGGTTATTAAGAAAGTATAAATCAAAAAGAGAGTATATTGCTTTAACTACTATCTGAGCTAGAGCCATTACAGCTTTTCTGCTTTATTCTTTAAAGTTCATTCTAACATTTGGACAATAAACATTTTTAGAATGATGATAGAGATCATTTGAATTAATTTTTTTTCTCGTTAGATTGGGTAGGTAGAACTTTTTTCACGGCAATAATTTTGCTTTAAGTTCAAAGGTCAGTTTGTCACTATATCAGCTAATTATTCTGACTTCAGTTTGCTGAGCAAGATGACCTCAGAGATAATGAATTATTTGCTTTCGCCCAAAGTGGCCAGTTTCTTCATTAAGATACATGGGAAAGTTTTAAAAGTTCATTCCAATTTCTTTTTCTTCATTTTTTTCTTTGCACTTTATACCTGGTATTGTCACGATTGGTGCATGCTAGTTGGAAAGAAAGACATTTGAAATTATAGAGGCACTTAGAATTTGAGGATTGCTATTAACAAGCTTAATATATTTCTGCATTTGTCTTTACAATAAATGCTTTAGTCACTATATCAAGAAAATCATGTTTGCACCTTGTAAGGTTTTGCTGTGTTGTGATGTATTCTCTGAAGTTTTTAAGTCCCTAGAGGCTCTGTATGTTCGGAGTAGTACAGTGCAATAGAGTGATGACCTGGAGTGAATTACTTGGCTCTTCAATCAAGTTTGTAATGTGTTCAGGGCAGCTGGAAAAGTATCAAGAGTACCTCAGCTTACATTGCTTCTGAAAGATGATCAAAGTTAGCGAGAACTGGTAGAGTTAAGGGTTTGTAATTCAAACATTTTCCAGAATCTCTCCTATGTTCCATACTTGTTGTGTTTTGTATGCAACTGATGTTGTCTGTATATCTATCCCATTCTCTAGCTCTCATTGAGGCAGAAGATATAGACTGACGTGTGCCTGCTGGCCCAGCCTAGATCAAAACCGTAACTCTTCCCACAATAGCCAGCCCCGTTGTCCATCCGCCGAGGTGTGTGCCCTCCTCGTTCCTTTGAAGAATGCCGTCTTCTGTCGTTCCGGCCTCCAACAATACACCACTGATTTATCCCGGGCTTTCTTCCTCCATCTGCACAAAGCCTGGCTGCTGTTTCCCCGAGACTCAGTGTGTTGTTCTAAGTCCTTCGGCTGCTACCTCTCTACCTTGATGAGCTTAGGGGAAACCACATCAGTGTTTTCTTTTTGGCTCGCACCCTCAGACATTGTGGAACAAAATTTTTGTAGATTGAAAGAAATCGAAATTGATCAATGACTGTGCTTCTTGATTTTACTTATTTTTTATTTATTTTTTTTCTGTTCAAAGTATTTTCTGCCTAACCATTTAGCATAGATTTTTGCTTTGATTGAGCGGGTAAACATTTTGTGTATTCTATAAACAATGAGCCTGAAACTATTTTCTGTAATTCGTTTATTTACTGCAAATGAAGGAAACATGGTTTTAAACCAGTCGCCAAGATTTTTACATGGAGACAATTTTCCGTTCAAGTGAAAAATTGGCCATGGTTTGCCCAAGACAGCATTTGAAAACGTAACAGACGTATTGTAAGGGACTTTCTTTGGTAAAGAAACGTGTTTATGGATTGCTAGAGCCGAGAAGACGATGTCAGTTCTGGACATTTCTCTCGTTTTCCCCGCCCTGCCGCTGCTGTTGTGTTTTTTCATAGGCTGTTTTTCCTCATAATCTGTCTAGTTTGTAATTGCTGGTTTCAGTTTGGTGAGAGATTAATGGGGGTTCACAAGTGCATAAGGTGATCTGTTGGTGCTTGAAACAGCTGCCAGTGAACAGATGATAGAACAAGGTGGGGAAAGTCTTGGTACGTAAATGAACCATGCAGTCTCTTTCCGTTTGAATTTTTTTTTTTTTAATGTATGGGCTTCTAACTGTATAAGAAATAGATCTGTTTCCAATGGAACTTTGGTCAGAATGCGTAGATGGGTGGGTGGGTGCATCCACAGACACTACTTTCTACTTGTTCAACAGCCCAAGCTTTCCTTCTGGCACTTTCTCTCTCTCCATCCGTACGTCCTCGTGTTTCTGTAACCTTTTCTCTGTATTATGTGTTCCGAAGAAGACAAGTCCCAAAGTTGTCAGACAGCGGGTAGAGTTAGACATAAACAGTGCCATCTCCCAGTCGTGTCTACCTGTGTGTCAGTTGTTCCTGAAGTCTTGTGTAAGAAGTAAATAATGCAGAGTCAGCATACGTACCAGTGAGCCCCGCGTGGCGTGTGTTCGGAGTGCTGTGAAGGGAAAGTTTTGCGTCTGCCATGAGGAGAACGTTTTGCGCCTGTTTCATACCCGAGCTTGAGCAAGATTTTGGAGTGAAGAGTGAGGATTGGCTTTTTCTCTTTTTGAACTTTTGAATCTTGGACTGTATCATTTTTATCTTGAACTGTATCATTTTTCCCCTGTATGTCTTCTCTGCTGCGTTAGCACGGCTTGCCACATGATATAGCATTCGCACTTTGAGCACATTGGACCTAGTCAATGCCCCCTGTATGATCTCCACACCCAGCTATTTCCTACACACTGACCTGACACTGGGGAGCTGCACGCACACACGGGCACGTACTCCACACACACACACACTAGCACATAGTCCACACACACGTACACGCACAGGCTGTTTACTAGTGCTGTTTGAGATAGACCACACGCACATATGGGCTGTTTACTAGTGCTGTTTGACGCCACATACACACCAACATGGGAGCTGAGAGTCAAATAGTTGCTTCAATTGTTACTGATATTTTATTGTCTTTTGTCACTTCTAAAGGGAGGCTAGTGGAAATTTGCTATGAACAGTATTATTTCTAATTTCTATTGTTAAAATTGTTTTTAAAATGTATAACAGAAGCTTAAGAAAATGTTAAATTAGAAGCTATAAAAACAATTAACAGAAGCATAAATAAAGTATGAAGAGGAGCACGAGTAGATTGCAGGAAGGATGATGCATGATAAGACAGCGAGGGGAACTAGATAGAGGTCATGTGTAGGTCATGGTGACTTTGGGGGCCAATAGTGAGTGGGACAGCCCACACGTTCTTGTAGTCTCTGAGCACTGACCTGTGAGAAGTGTAAAAGTTTGTTGCTGACACTGTTCCTCCTGTATTTCCTTCTCCCAGATATGAGCCTGTGGCTGTAAAGATCCCAGTGTGTTTACACATGTGCCTTGACGCTCCTTGCTAGGCTGAGGGATGATTGACCTAAGGCTGAGTTTGTCCTAGCTCTAGTTGTTCACTTAGTGGTTGTCAAGGAGGTGGAGGGGGGAAGCTGTTCTATAATGAGCTGGTTGTCAAGGAAGTGACAGGGGAAGCTGTTCTATAATGAGCTGGTTGTCAAGGAAGTGACAGGGGAAGCTGTTCTATAATGAGCTGGTTGTCAAGGAAGTGGCAGGGGAAGCTGTTCTATAATGAGCTGGTTGTCAAGGAAGTGGCAGGGGAAGCTGTTCTATAATGAGCTGTTTGTCAAGGAAGTGGCAGGGGAAGCTGTTCTATAATGAGCTGGTTGTCAAGGAAGTGGCAGAGGTTCAGGTAGAGGGGAGGTCTCATAATCTCACAGATTTGTCCAATTTGAAGGGAAAAAAAGCGGATGATTCTTTAAGGGGCATTTAGAAATTGTGTTGTTCTTCCCACTCTCAAGGGCAAACCACATATCAACCTACTTTCAGTTTGTTTATTTATTGTCTTTTTTATATTTTTTTAGTTCACTCTTAAGACATTGATAAGATGTGTGAAGATAGAGGAAAGTTTCTCTGTGACTTTGATGACCACATGTTTGGGTTGTCGCTACCCAGAACCAAAACCAAATCCTGAATGGTTTCTCTTCTTGCCTTAGTTTGCTGAAGGCACAGAGGTCACTGTTAACCTGATCTCTCCACACAATCAAAAGATGCACAATGTCAAAAAACTAAAAGATAAATATGAATGTGTTTGAACACCCAAGTTGTTTTTTTTCCCACATGCACACCTTGTATATATATATATATATATATATATAAAATGCAACACCAACCAGGGTCCTGTTGAAGTAAAAGAACAATCTTTTGTTTGAAATATATCCGGGGGGGGGGGGGGAGGTGTCTTTGTACTTGATGTATCGGAGGTCGGTAAAGAAGGGAAATATGATGAGCCAGTGTAAATGGTGAATGTATTTTTTTTACCAAAGGAAGTCACAAATACAATCATAATAACTTGTAGGCGGTGAATAGATGGAGACGTTGAAGTAAGAGGTTTGGGGGACTGATGTAGCTGTGTGACGAGGGCTGGGCAAAAGCTGACATTTTCTACTTGCTAGCTTAAGATGTCAAAGTAGTCTGATGTTGAGACGCGTATGTTGTTCAGTTATAGAGCCGAGATGGAGAACTGTAACGGGTGCTAGGCGTGTATGAGCGCTTGTGGCTTTTGGCTCTGTGACTGTATGGGTTGTTAGGCCAGTGAAATAAATGTTTGAGCGCTTGTGGCTCTGTATCCATATCGGTAGTTAGGCCAGTCAATAAATGTTTGGTGAGAAGAGAATGGAACCGGGTTTATGGCAAGGTCATGTTTTTTTGTGTGGTTTTTTTTTTTGGGGGGGGGGGGTAATTTGTGAAAAGTGGTTTTCCCTGATAGGACTAAAACTGAAGGCTTTGTTCAACTGAGAATTCATCTTGTGGTCTGGTCTTGTCAGAAGTGGGATGTTGTCTTCAGGATTTTTACACCAAAGACATTGGTTGTGTGAGGGGAATGTGCTACAGTGGGGCTGCAGATGCCCTGACAGTGTGAGTGTGAGAGACGGGCACTGCTGGTGCTGTTTGTAGTAGGAAAATTTTGTTTATTGAGTATTTTTGTACAAGTAGCTATGAAGGCAGTTATCGGCTAGATTCTCTGATTTACTTGCTATGTTTCTGATTTGAAAGTGCCAAAATTCTTGCACCATCATAGCGGTACGATTTTGTGTTCCAAGCTTGTGTTTGTATATATATTAGATGTCACAGAAATGAATGATTTGCTGTACGTTAACTGCAACTGCAACAAAATCTTATTTTTCGTATGGTATTGTGCAAAAGGAATATGTGGGAAATCAGTGGCCAGTAAGATTTATAAATTTTCCTGTGTTCTTGTAGTGAGTTTTGTACTGTTTTGTTTTGCGACAGTGTTCGGTTTAGCTTTGTATGCCTGTCTGCTTTGTCCTTTGGTGGAAGTTGTGGTAAGGAGCAGTGGGAGGGGGAATATTGCAGTAGGAAGGGGTGGATGGTTGCGTTGATGTGTGAGTGTTTGTAAGTTTGGCCTATGGGCTCATTATTGGAACACAGTGTATTGATGTATGCGTCTGTGTGAGTGTTTGTAAGTTTGGCCTACGGGCTCATTATTGGAACACAGTGTGTTGATGTATGCGTCTGTGTGAGTGTTTGTAAGTTTGGCTCACGCATGAAACAGTCTGTTGATGTACGTGGTGGACACATGATGGGTTATTTCCCAGACAATGTCACTTACATAATGTGTGGAGGGTATTTGTGACGAAATTCATTATTCGTAGGCATCTGTTTATTGATAGAGATTTGGGGCCCCCCGTCTATATTTTATAGAGCGCAAAGTAGACAACTACAACTTCTGGGCAGAAACATAAAAAGCACCATCGTTCCAGTGAGAGGTGTTGTTTTTTCTTAGTTTGAATGTTAGATAACTTGATTTTTCTAAACCACATTCTCAGCTGGGTAGGGAAATAATGAAGGCCCCTATCTAGTACTAGGGGTGCCAGCATCTGGACAAGGTCAAGGACGTCCCTGTCTCCCAGTCTGGGCAGGGTCAAGGACGTCCCTGTCTCCCAGTCTGGGCAGGGTCAAGGACGTCCTGGTCTCCCAGTCTGGGCAGGGTCAAGGACGTCCCGGTCTCCCAGTCTGGGCAGGGTCAAGGACGTCCCGGTCTCCCAGTCTGGGCAGGGTCAAGGACGTCCCTGTCTCCCAGTCTGGGCAGGGTCAAGGACGTCCCTGTCTCCCAGTCTGAGCAGGGTCAAGGACGTCCCTGTCTCCCAGTCTGGGCACGGTCAAGGACGTCCCTGTCTCCCAGTCTGGGCACGGTCAAGGACGTCCCGGTCTCCCAGTCTGGAACTCGGGGTATGTGTTGTCCCACCAGGGGTGCCAGCGTCTGGAATGTTGAATATTTTCACGCAGGCGGAAAGTCGTGGTTCTCATTAATTGAAGGTTTTTGCTGGGGTTTGCCTCAAAGTTTTGCCAGAAATGTGAGATGTTCTCATCATGTGCTTGCCAGTTGTTAGTGAGAGTCTGCTTTGAGTATTTCATGCCTCCTTCTACTGCAGTCACCTTGTCTATTGTAACTTACACCTGGCGACTTGAAAGAAACATTTTTTGTGTGCAAATTATACTAGCTATGCGATTGTAGAAAATGAACACAGTGCAGTCAAGCACGCTCAGAGCAAACACGCTCATAGAGACTTGTGGCAAACACGCTCATAGAGACTTGTGGCAAACACGCTCATAGTTAACACATCTTCAGTCACTGAATTCTTTTCCCTATTCTTTTGTTTTTAAAAAGCACATAGCTAGTGAAAGCCATTGACAGCGCACAGGTTCCTGGGCCCCACCGACTTCGCGGTGTGGGTGCTACTCTGGAACAAGTCACTGACGGTTGGAAGTCCCAACCGTGTCCTAGCATATCATTCTCTCTTGACGACAGTTTTTGTCACATTGGTCACAACATACATTTTGTAACGGACGTTCTGTGACTAGTCGGTATCAGACGTCCCATCCGCAGCCATTTCTACCTCATGAGGTATGCCAGTGTTATACCCCTTGCTCCTCCTACAGCTACAATATATATAATACATGGTATAGTGCTGGTCCGACAATATATATACTTGGTGTACTGCCTCAAGCTAACAAAACGCCTTTTTTCCCCCTTCATAGCAGTTTTGAGAAAAAAATGGGGGGGGAGGGGGTCGACGAAACCATTTAAAAATAGAGTCATTTGAAGTTTGAATTTTAATTTATTCAAAAACTTGTCAGTTTCACTTTGATTTTTTCACACAAGTAGAGTAAATAATCAGATTTTCGATTTAGCAAATAAAGAATGTTGGCGCCAAAATAAAAGAAAAAGACGTTTTGTTAGCTTAAGGCAGTATAGTGCTGGTCCGACAATATATTTACATGGTATAGTGCTGGTCCGACAATTATACATGGTATATCTACTGAATAGAGGCTGAGCGTTATTAGCTAAACCATTATAAATCAAAGGTGCATCATTAGAGAAAGAACTTGTTACTATTTGCTGGCCTGGTGTGTGTGTGTGAGAGAGAGATAAAATGTCTTATCTTTGGCGCTACTTATATGACCTAATTGTGTTGCAAGTGTTGTAAAACTCTAATGAAAAGGTTTTTTTAAAAAGCGAAAGCGAATTTCAAATGGATCTGAACCCTGGGTGAAACAAAAATGGTTTCCTCGGTCGTATTTGGTTGTTCCTGTCACACTGTGTGTGGTTGTGTTTGTGTGGTTGTGTAACACACTACAGTGTGTCGTTGTTTGTGTGGTTGTGTCACACACTACAGTGTGTCGTTGATTGTGTGTCGCTGTGTTGCTGTAGGACTTGGGAGAGGTGACTGTCTCATGGAGAGAACTTGTTTTGTTGTAAGCCCCAGGGCCGGTGCTGTCGTTGGGAGGGCAACCGGTGCTGTCGAGGGCGGGCAACATTGCCACTGGTTTCAGCCAATCTACCTACAGTCTAGCACGCTCATAGGGAACAGATATTGCGGGTTCAGAAGTTTTCTTTTACTTTAACGCAATACTTTGTATTTAGAATGCGTTGTATATAGAGAGAGAAATTCCCACATAACGAAGAGATGTCTGTGACCCACTGATTTTGCTAGGTGCGTGCCAGACTGTGGGAGGGTTGGGTTGTTGTTGTTGTTGTTGTTGTTGTTGTTGTTGTTGTTTTTTTTTGTTTGTTTGTGTGGTGGGGGGGGGGGGGGGGGGAGTTTGTTGTAGTATGTGACAGCTGTATGCACGAAAGCTGATTTACTTTGTTGTAACCACTAAGAATGAATGAACAAATTTGTGTCTTGTTGCTATTTATTTCATACTGTACAAATATATGTATAGAGGAGAGAAAGGCTTACACTTTGAAACAACATATTTTGCAACACAGCACACTTTGAAGCAACAATGACACACTTTTCAACAACAACACATTTTGCAGCTACAAGTCTACAACACTTTTTGAAACACATTGCAACAACAACACACTTTGCAGGTATACCACAACACACTTTGAAACAATAACAACAACACACTTTGCAGCAATGACGAAACTACAACACACTTTGAAACAACAACACACTTTACAAGTATACCACAACACACTTTGAAACAATAACAACAACACACTTTGCAGCAATGACGAAACTACAACACACTTTGAAACAACAACACACTTTACAAGTACACCACAACACACTTTGAAACAATAACAACAACACACTTTGCAGCAATGACGAAACTACAACACACTTTGAAACAACAACACACTTTACAAGTATACCACAATACACTTTGAAATAACAATAACAACACACTTCTTTGCAACATT